GTCAGGGCTTTCATACTCTCACTCATGTCAGGTCTTACTTAATTTGACCGCGCTTCAGGAGTTTTGAGTTTTTTTTATCACTAATAGACGAGGTTCAGTTGGTTGAAGAAGACACATATTCCCCCTTCTGTTACGTAACGTTTATCTGTATGCGCGCTCATGAAATGAGTGTACCATCACTTTTGACATCTATTTGTCCGAAAACCAAAATTTTTCATTGTGATTTATATCTTGAGTTTCTCCCGTTTTAGCCTCTTCCCAATCGTCTCAGTTTGACTCGTTGTGATGACGATCCAGACGAGGATGATCACTTAAAACAGCTCACTCTCCAAGTCCCCGGACACAACAATTCCTGTCGAACATCTCCAATCCAATCATCGATGGACAGGAACTCTCCATCGTTTTTTCTACCCCCGAAACACCAACAACAACAACAATCCATGTCACACGCGAACACTCCACCGGCCAGCTTGCTCGGGGCACCAACTGGTGATGTCCGTTGTCGTTCCGCTCAGGGCCTCGTGCATGTGTCTCCGCCCGTCCGTGATGTGAAATCCATCAATTCACTGGCCTATTGCTCGCCGGAACCAAACCCAGCAATGTGCAATCCCATCACCATGTCCCAACCGTCGTTTGCTTCGACGGCATCCACCGGGTCAATGGGTATGCCGGTCAATGGAGATCGTATTTTTGGTACGCAAAATTTGAAACGTGAATTTGGTGGTCCTCCGGGTCCAGTGACCACCACCGCCACCGGCGGCGGCGGCTCACTTGGCGGATCTGGTCATGGCCCCCCAAATGTGTCGGAGTTTTTGGCCTTGTCTGGGGTGAATTCCTCCAATCCAGGTCAATCAACCATACCCGCACAGTCCTTACAACCACAGGCACCATCACTGACCCAACATCAACAACAACAATCATCATCGCATTCGCTTGGTCTCACCTCGTCCGCCTATAATAATAGCAACAATAACGCAAATTGCACCACATCGACCGTCACCATGGCAACAAATAATAATGCTCTGTTTGACAGTGTGAATTCTTTGCTCCTGAACGATCCCAGTCAAAGCACCCTGCCCACTATTAGT